CCCCAAAACCCCAAAACCCCAAAACCCCAGACTAAACCACCACAATAGAATATTATACCCTGTAATCTCAATATGAGTACAGAAAGGTTCTTAGTGCTGTTCCTGGTTTTGTGCGCTGTTAGTGCAGAATTTGGACATGTGAAGACTTTTAGATTTGTTCCGCTGAATTTAATAAACATAACAGAATTCTACTCCGAACTTACTCTGATCACCCTCGTTCTTCTACAACGATATTTCGTTCAGACACCCTTCGTTGAAATCTCTGGGGCTGGCCTGCTGGATGAGAGGCTGAAGAGTAATATTGCCATTTATGTAACACTTTGGGAGGAATTTATGACTGTGCTGTTTGGGACTTTGGAGGTGAAGAAGGTAGCACCAGCAGTTTGGCTGGCAGGAAGTTTCAACTTTATAAGGATGCAAATTAGATTTTTGTTCGGTGAATTTGATTATGGAAATTGGCATTTGGATGTGGTGTATTGGACAAAGATAGTAAGTGTACATAGTGCTATCTTTGATGCAAAGGGGTACCAATATTTTATAAGAAACAGGCCATGAATCAGAGATAGAGTAGGACAGTATTTCTTGCCATTGTATCATGGGAAAGATACATCAAACTGCTCTGAGATTGACCCAATTATTATCAGTAAGTCTGAAAGACCAATTGATCCAGAACTGAGCTATGGCTCTTTGGTTTTGAAGATACTACTGCTTTGAAGCATTCTAGGAGCAATTTTAATTGTAAGAAAGTTGATCTTAAAGGAATGGAAGACTTATAAGAGCCTCAGGTTTTCTAAACCTGAGAGATCTGTTGAAATTATGGATAAAAGTTCTTGGAAATCTGAGAGCTCGAGGGCAGAAAAATCAACTTACTCAGATAAACTTAATCTCCAAGGAACATTTAATAGAGTTTAAATTGGATCTGCAGTGTCTGACTTATCACACCGACACTCAATGAGATCATATCTATCTTAAGAAGAGTTTTCCAAATTGTTTACGAGTTCTTATTGCTGAATTAGTTTCTGTTTCAACCTCTATCACCCACCTGGGGTTTTGGGGTTTTGGGGTTTTGGGG